ACATAATATATAATAGCCCTTTACAATTACATATAGTATATAATATAAATATTTTAGTGTATATTTCATTAAAAAAACAAAAAAACAAAGCATAGATATCACAATCAGGATATTAACTTTGATATAGACTGTTATCTGATCTGTTTATTCAAATTTTACTGATTGTCCCAGTCATGCCCGTTATAGCAAAAGAAAAACGTTTTCCCCCAGTCCACATTTAATCTAGGATCAAACATTGTATTTAGTTGTTATGTCTTTTAAATCTCTTTTAATCTGGAACAGCTCCTTAACCTTACGTTGTCTTTCATGACCTTGATATTTTTAGAGTACAGGCCAGTTAACAGAACTGTAGGATGTTCCTTCCTTTGAGTGAGTTTGTTGTTCCCTGTGCTTAGATATAAGGTATGTGTTTTTGGCCGGGATATGACAATGATGTATCTTTCTTGGTGCATCATAGCAACAGGTACCTGACGCCTGCTTGTCCCATCACTGATAACCAACCTAAATCACCTAGTTAACTGGTATCTGCCAGGCTTCTCTACTGTCAAGTTACTATTTTTCACTTTGTAATTGTAAGTATTTTGTGGGGTGATACTTTGTATATAAATCCTTTTCCTTATCAAAGTTTAATTTACTAACGTTAGTATCTATCCTGTCTTTTGAAGCAACAAGGTCGGTTGTACAAAGTGAATGCAGACTCTACCCCTTGGAGCTAAAATAAAGCCAAGAGAAAGTGAGCCATTCAGCCCACTTAGGCAGAGAAGCCACTTTTTTTTTTTTTTTCAACTCACTGCCTATGGTCTTTGAGTTTTGTCTTTGCACAGGTTAATTGAAATTTAGTCTTAACTCTTGCAAATAGTGATTGCCTGTAGCTTGTAACGTTTGGGCTCCTATTTAGTCACCCAGGGCCCAAGATAGGTCTAACCAGTTTATTCTGGTCATAAGTGCCCCTTGGGGCTTTGGCCTATGGCTCTGTTCTATCTTTGGCTCTTTGATCCTTTTTCTTTGCTTCTAAGATGCTGTCAGTTGGAGCCTTAGTAAATTGTCTCTGTGCTGAATCACCTATAAACAAGCTTCTGGCTACAGACTCATCAGACAACTCTCCACTGAGCTCAGTTACACAGCCTATGCTATCTATGCTAAGGCTGCAGTTGTATGAGTCACACGAGTAGTTTTTAAAATGTCAGAGAGTCCAGAACTGTGTATAATATGAAGAAATATTAAAAACACCCAGTGGTATACTCGGGCATACCTTAGCTATTGCGGGTTCTGTTCCAGACCACTGCAATAAAGCAAATATCGCAGTAAATTGAGTCACACAATTTTCTGGTTTCCCAGTGCATATAAAAGTTATGTTGGGCTAGGCGCGGTGACTCACACCTGTAATGCCAGCACTTTGGGAGGCCTAGGCGAGCAGATCAAGGTCAGGAGTTTGAGATCAGCCTGACCAACATGGTGAAACCCTGTCTCTACTAAAAATACAAAAATTAGCCAGGCATGGTGACGGGCACCTATAATCTCAGCTATTTGGGAGGCTGAGGCAGGAGAATCCAGGAGATGGAGGTTGCAGTGAGCTGAGGCCGTGCCACTGCATTCCAACCTGGGTGACAGAGCTAGACTCTAATCTCAAAAAAAAAAAAAAAGTTATATTTACACTATACTATTGTCTACTAAGTATGTTAAGGCTACTAAGTGTTGAGTCTAAAAAATTACATACCTGAATTTAAAACTACTTTGTTGCTAAATAGGCTAACAATCATCTGAGTCATAACAATCAGTGAGTCATAATCTTTTTGCTGGTGGAAGGTCTTGTCTCAATGTTGATAATTGCTGACTGACCAGGGTAGTAGTTGCTGAAAGTTGGAGTGACTGTGGCAATTTCTTAAAATAAGACAATGGAGTTTTCCACAGCCATTAACTCTTCCTCTCATGAAGAAGGGGAAGAGTTGTCTGGAGTATGTGATGCTGTTTGATAGCATTTTGCCCACAGTAGAGCTTCTTTAAAACTGGAATCATCCCTTCCAAACCCTGCTGCTGCTTTATCAGCTAAGTTGATGTAATTCTAAATCCTTTGTTGTCATTTCTACAATGTTCACAGCATCTTCACTGGGAGTAGATTTCATCTCAAGAAACCACTTTTTTTGACCATCCATAAGAAGCCACTTCTATCTGTTTAAATTTGATCATGAGATTGCGACAATTCAGTCACATCTGCAGGCTCCATTTCTAATTCTAGTTCTCTTGTTATTTTCACCACATCTGTAGTTGTTGCTTCCTCTATTGAAGACTTGAACCCCTCAAAGTCATCCATGAGAGTTGGGATCAACTTCTTCCAAATCCGGTTAATGTTGGTATTTTGACTTCCATGAATCACAATTTTTTTTTCCTTTTTTCCTCTTTATTCATAAACTGATTGTTATATGCAGAAAAACTTGGGACAGATTAAGAATGCAACTTGGATCTTCAGTCTTCTCTTTTCAACTCCATTCTGGAATATTCATAATATTCTGGCCATTGGGTTCTCTCCTTTCGTTTTTGTTTTCAAAGTCCTTTCTAAAAGGAAACACACTGCCTTGCATTCTATATAATTCCTAATTTCCAGGTGGAAAAATGGGACAGTGACATCTAAAAACACTGGGGAGGCTAGACAAAATGGCTCATGCCTGTAATCCTAGCATTTGGGAAGCCAAGGAGGGAGAATCCCTTGAGCCCAGGAGTTAAAGACCAGCGTGGACCACATAGTGAGACTCTGTCTTGATAAAAAATTTTTAAAAAATTAGCTGGATGTGCTGGCACATACTTACAGTTCCAGCTATTCAGGAGGCTGCGGTGGGAGGACCAATTGCGCCTGGAATGTCAAGGCTGCAGTGAGCCGTGATGATACCACTGCACTTCAGCCTCGGTGACAGTGAGACCCTGTTTCAAAACAGCTGCCAAAAAAACCCACGCACACATTGTGGACTATATTTTTTAAAAGCAAGACAATAATTGAGGCTTTTCTTGCTTTAATTCTTCTCTATATTACCACAGTAAAATGTTTAACAAAGTCCAAGAGATTACTGATACACAGTAACCTATGACTTTATATTAATGGGGCTATCAATAAGAACCTGATGAGTGAAATAGCTGGAAAAGTATCAAATGTAGAGTGATTTGCTATTCTATTTATGTAGTATTGAAACTGTCATAACATTTGCAGACCCAGAAAATTTGAGGTAATACTGAATAATAATTGATAACTCTGAAGTACTGCAACATCATGAAAGACCTTCTAAATGACCAAAAACAGATGGAATTTTGTTTGGTATAACTTCAGTGATTTTTTTTTTTTACACAGAACTATGTATATTTTTAAATTGATAATCCACATAAGTTATACACAAAACCTTTAAGTGACTAGATTGTTAATAAAACTCTGCATTGCTTTCTTCTTATGGACTAATGAGCTTATAATTCACTGTCATTCTTTTAAGCAATTTTAGTCTATAGACATGTTCAAATTGTTTGGTCTTATTAGTTTCATTAGCAAAAACCTCCAATTCCTTTATATTTAATTCTTTTCAATATCATCTTTAAAGGGCCTGACTCGAATTTTGTCAAAATAAATCACAAAATTAATCCTCCAGTTTCTAGTCTGTGAGTTTCAATTCAGTGTAAGCTAGTGCATGGACCTCCCCATGAATTTTCCACAGTACCAACTTTAACACTTTCCACAAAGTGTCATGTCCTTCTCTTCTCTAGGCTTTTGGTAGAAGTGAATAATGGCATGTGGCATTCCTTAGCATAATCTACCAAAAAGTGATGATCTCCTTAAAAGAAAAGCCATGGGCTGCAATCACACATCTGAGTTGACAGACATCCAAGTCAATTCAACATAAAAAGAAAAGGGTGGGACGCAGTGGCTCACTCCTATAAGTCCAGCACTTTGGGAGGCTGAGGCAAGTGGATCACTTGAGCTCAGGAGTGCGAGACCAGTCTGAGCAACATAGCTCAGGACCCTTGTCTCTACAAAAAATATAAAAATTAGCTGGGTGTGGTGGTGTGCGCCTGTAGTCCCAGCTACTTGGGAGGCTGAGGTGGCAGGATCACTTGAACCCAGGAGGCAGATGTTTCAGTGAGCCAAAGTCGCACCACTGTACTCCAGTCTGGGCACTAGAGTGAGAACTTGTCTTCCAAAAAAGAAAAGAAAAGGTTTGTGTCTTCTGGAGTATGAGTATACACTTTTAAGAAATTCAAACAGATCCCAACATAAACATCTTCAAACTTAATGGGTTTTACATGACTCGTCATTTATAGATCCTTATACCAACCCTCTGGACATTATATAACCCAACACTCTGCAGTATGGAGGGAACACCTGGTTCCTTCTGGTATAAAATATGAGGTTTTTGGTGAAATCCTCTGTAGGAATAATTATCACTTAGAGGATAACCTGTGAAAAACTTCTCTGGTTTCAGTTTAAAAGACACTTTACTAAATTTCCAGTATTGATGGAAACATCAGTGTCTGTATTCATGATGTACTTGGCATTGGGGCAAAGCTGAGTTACCCACCTGAATGCCATAATAATTTTCAAGGTCAGGTTATTATGTGTATCCAAAACATCTCATTGGATTATGTCACCATAAAGAAGGTATTCACCCTCTAAGCACAGTGCTAACATTTTGTCTTCCCTTTTAGACATAATGAAAGAATCTCATATCTCCACCAACACTTTTTTTTCATCCCAAGTAGCTCCAGTGGCCTGTCTGGCTTTCACATTTGAGGGGTGGGAGGTTACGGGGATGACGAGAAATGGCTGGTTGGTTAGTTGGTTGTTTTTGAGACAGGACTTCACTCTGTCACCTGGACTGGAGTGCAGTGGCATGATCATGGCTCACTGCAGCCTTGACCTTCTGGACTCAAGTGATCCTCATACCTCAGCCTCCCCAGTAGCTGGGACTACTGGTGCATGCCATCATCCCTGGCTAGTTAAAAAAATTTTAATATTTTTTGGTAGAGATGCAGTCTCCCTGTGTTGCCCAGACTGGTCTTGAACTCCTGAGCTCTAGTGGTCCTCCTGCCTTAGCCTCCCACAGTGTTGGGATTACAGGCATGAGCCATCCCACTGGGCCTGGAAATGGGTTTTGATGAAAGCAGTTTGAATGCTCTCCAAGTGTGAAGTGAAGGCCTTGTCTCTAAATTGTCTCATACTCCAGAACCACATCCAGTTTACACGTTCTGTCACATTGTAGTGGGGAAGGCTGAGGTACCACATCACAAGGAAACTCAGGAGCAATAGCAGCGAGACTCCGTGTAAGGGATCCAGTGACATCCTACTTGGAAGGGCTGTCCAGGAAGCTGGGGTTGTCCAGAGAGTCGGGGCCATCCATAGCAGCCCAGAAGCATGCGAGCTGCAAGTTCTTCCTCTTGATTAATTTCTTGTCAATGAAAAGACTTTCAGTTTCACCACCTGAGCATTTAGGAATATGTAGTCTTCAAAAATAATGCTACCAAAAAAACAGAGAATTTCAGATTGCCTTAAAATTCTGCCATATACTGCTTATAAAACACATACCTGTACAATTTCAGATGAGATTAAGGCACTAGCTAAAGTTTTTTGTTTTCTGTATTCCATGCTTTAAGTAAAACACTCAGATTTGCAGTGAACACTATGAAAACAGAAAAAAAAAAAAAGACATGGTTTGATAATGTCTCTTATGGTAGCTTTTCCTAACAAAATAGCCACCTCCTATGCACAGGCACTGGTAACACCCTCACCTGCTGCTCCCCCACCACCACAGCAAAAACTCCCAGCCACCTCTGGGGGCGACAGAAGGCAGTGCACCCTGGGACAGGGCAAGGTGGCCAACATGCGGCTTTAGCCTGGGCTCACCACCGTGTACCCCAGCACTCTTCCGTATCACCCATGGCCCCACTGGGCCCTTTCTCCAGCACTCACCTGAGCAGGGAACCTGTAGTCGCAGAGGCCCACTCCCTAGGGCTTGGTGACTCGACTCCTGCCCTGCTCCGAGAGGCACGAATGGTCTTAATGATATCTAAGATGGTGAGTCCTTTCCAGAAGGTTTTAAATTTACTTTGCCCAGATCCACCAGAGGAATCTCTTATCTGTGGCAGCTATTGCCTTATGAAATGTATTTCTAAAATAATAATACTTAAAAGTCAAAATTGGCTGGGCATGGGGGCTCATGCCTCTAATCCCAGCACTTTGGAAGGCCGAGGCAGGTAGATCACCTGAAGTCAGGAGTTCGAGACCAGCTTGGCCAAGATGGTGAAACCCCATCTCTACTAAAAATACAAAATTAGCCTGGTGTCATGCCAGGCACCTGTAATTCCCAGCTACTGGAGAGACTGAGGCAGGGAGAATTGCTTGAACGTGGGTAGGCCGAGGTTGCAGTGAGCTGAGATTGTGCCACTGCCCTCCAGCCTGGGCAACAGAGTGAGACTCCATCTGAGAAAAAAAAAAAGTCATAGTTACTCCTTGATCCATGAGCTATGGAAGGTACCTTGTGTTAGCAGGCATGAAAACAATCTCCTTGTGCATCTCCCTCAGAGCTCTTGGATGACTAGGTGCATTGTTGAGAAGCAGTAATATTTTGCAAGGAATTTTTTTTTCCTGAGGTACAGTGGGTTTAAATTATTCAGTAAACCATTCTGTAAGCAGATGTGCTGTCATCCATGCCTTGTTGTTCCATTTATAGAGCACAGGTAGAATAGATTTAGCATAATACTTAAGTGCCGTAGGATTTTCAGACTGGCCAATGAGCGTTGGCTTTAACCTAAAGTCGCCAGCTGCATTAGTTCCTAACAAGAGAGTCAGCCTGACCTTCGCAGGTTTGAAGCCAGGCATTGACTTCTCCTCTCTAGCTATGAAAGTCTTAAGTGGCATCTTCTTCCAATATAAGGCTTTTCATCTCCACTGAGAATCTTTTGTTTAGTGAAGCCACCTTCATTAACGGTCTTATCTAGATCTTATGGATAACTTGCTACAATTACATTAGCACTTGCTGCCTCATGTTGCACTTTTATGTAATAGAGACAGCTTTTTGCCTTAAACCTCATGAACCAACCTCTGCTAGCTTCAAACTGTTCTTCTGGAGCTTTCTTACCTCCCTGGCTTTCATAGAATTGAAGAGATTAGTGCCTTGCTCTAAGCTTTGGCTTAGGGGAATGTTTTGGCTAGTTTGATCTTCTATCCAGCACACTAAAACTTTATTCATATCATTCTTGTAGCAATTTCCTTAGAGGCTGGCACGGTGGCTCACACCTGTAATCCCAGCACTTTGGGAGGCCAAGATGGGCAGATAACTTGAGGTTAGAAGTTCGAGACCAGCCTGGCCAACATGGTGAAACCCCGTCTCTACTAAAAATACAAAAACAATTAGCTAGGTGTGGTGGTGCGTGCCTGTAATCCCATCTACTCAGGAGGCTGAGGTGGGAGAATCACTTGAACCTGGGAGGCGGAGGTTGCAGTGAGCTGAGAGATCACACCAGTGCACTCCAGTCTGGGCAACAGAGTGAAACTCTGTCTCAAAAACACACAAGCAAACAAAAAACCAAATTTCCTTCAAGAATATTTTCTTTGTATTTACAACGTGGCTGTTTGGTACAAGAGAGCCTTGCTTTCAGCCTGTGGTAATTAGACATAGTAGTGTTCTATGTCTTCAGTAGTCACACTCCTGGCAGTAGTAACCATAAAAACATGGCTCTCTGCTGTGTGTTACCACATACCTCTGTTATGTTGTTAAGTATAATGCACTGAATTGTAAATCGTTTATTTTGAAATTCATTTATATAAACAAACACATAAATAAGTTCAAAGTTATCCACAATAACATGACTGTCCTTCAAATTTCAGTAAGTTTTCTTGAGTTGCAAAGAATGGTGTAGAAGTACAGCTCTTACCCTAAGGAGCTACACACAATCTTCAGGATCCTCCTACTTGAACTAGAACCCTTACGTGAGTGCCAGATGTCCATAGGCATATGTCTTATTTGTGAATGTCTTCAGATGTATGTGTTATGATGGAGAACAGCTGAATAACTGTGCTAAAACCTAGCTTTGAATTTAGAAATATACCACTGCCTCCTCTCCCCTTCCCAAAGAAAAATTTGGGGGCAGTAGAAATTGCTCACAAAAGGCCATTGCAACTTGTACCTTAGGAGAGACCCTGTACCCTCTCTCAGTCTTTTTATTCTTTCTCGTTTTTGTTAGTGAATTCTTATACTTTTGATTTACTATTGAATTAAAAGCAATAAATTAAAATGGAGAAGGACATCAACCTGACAATAGTGAACAATGTCAAGAGCCACCAAGATCAAAGACAGAAACGTTAAAGCTGGCAGAAGAGTTCAAAGGATTACAGTCTGGAATTGCCTAATGAGTGAGGGAAGTAGCATTGTACACTCTAGTAGCCTCTGAGGTATCCCAGCATTGAGTGAAAAACAGGTAATAAATGTTTGTGATGATTTCTCCAGTTAACTAGAAAAGGTGAATTTTATCCAGTATGCAGTTTGGAACATTGAGATGTAAACAGTATCTTATCTTGAAAACTTTTACTGCAACTAATTCACATTAATTGTAAATATTCAGAAACATGAAAGAAAAAAATATAAAACAGCTCATATCACCCATAGATTTAATTACTTATAGCACATTAGTATGGTATTTAGCTCTTCAGCCCTTTTCTATGTATAAAAGATAGTATATAATAAGATATATTTGCATATTATATAAAATACATGTTATATAATATATATACCAAATTTATGTGTGAGAACATGAAGCCTGCTTTTTTGTCTTTTAAAAAAAATTTAGTTGTGGTAAAAATATACAATAAAAAGTATGCCCTCTTAACCATTTTGTAAAGCCTGTTTTTTTTTTTTTTTTTTAACTCAATAATATGTTGTGAACATTTTCCCGTATCACTGAGTATAGATGTTTATTTTAAGGCTGCATGGATATACCATAATCTAGTTAATCAATTTCCTAGTGTTAAATATTTAGGTTTCCAATTTTGGTTATTAACACTGCATAAAGCATCTTTAAATATACATACTTCTACATTTCATCAGAGTCCCAAAATAATTGTTGGATCAATGGATGTCTACTTTCTGAATGCTTCCAATGTATATTATCAAAGCGCACTTCTATTTCACTATATTCTTGCCAATATTTGATGTTATAATTCTTTTAAATTAATGTTTATGTAATTTAACCTTTAATACAAAAAATGCAAACAGCAGTAGAAACTAAAGTCAGTGAGAAAATGCATTTCAGGGAATGTGATGCCTAAAATGATTCAGGCTTATAAACCAGCAAACCACTGGTTGTCTAAAAGAACTCAACATAGTAGCTGTTCAGTACACAGGCATGATGAGTCTCACTCACTTGTTCATGCAGCATACAAAATTCATGTAAGTCTTCATGAATGTGAAGAAATGCCTCATAATTTGAAAAAGAGATGTTAAATGAGTCCAGTTATTGTAAGCCAAATCTGTGAATCTCAGGGTAGAACTTTATTGAATTTTGTGTAATGTTTTTGATGTTGAAACTTTTCAGTTGCCCCTAATTGTGGGCTTTGTTTTATTTGCCACAGAGAAGTTTCAATTTTTAATGAGGGAGAAGTGAATCAAATTTTTGGTTACTCTTTTCATGTTATGTTTATAGAAAACCATCTCTCCTCCAAAGTTATAGTACAGTTGTAATTTTCTTTTAGTAGTTTTATAGTTTTATTTTTGATACTTTTTAAATCAGAAGTTGCAAACATTTTTATTGAATAAGCTGCTGTTGTGGGGAACTGTCCTGTGCATTATTAGGATGTTGGCATCCCTTGACCTTTACCCACTTGATGCCAGCAGCACCCCTTGTCTCCCCAGTTGTGACAACCAAAATGTCTCCAGATACTGCCAGTTGCCCTCTTTGTGCCAAAACTGCCCTCTCTTGAGAAGTAGTGGTATGGTAAACCTTAAAGTGGGTTGAGACAATACCCAATAAGAAACGCTATCAGGACAAGAGACCAGTCATTGACTGAGTGGAATACTCTGGTAGACCATTTCTTGAGAATTGTATTCTCAAGAAATGGATTCCAGACTGCAGCAAAAGATCTTGGTTCTGCTTTACTTTCTCATTTGCTCTTATTGACCTCTCTGTGGACTAGGAGAAACAGGAGAAGGTAACTGGGAGTTATTAATAAAAATGTTAGGGAAATTGTCAGCAGATGCCTTGGTGACATCCTGCTCCAACCTTCCAATCTGTCTGTGGTCTTTGTGGTTTGAAATATAGAACCAACTTTAACCCCTTTGTCTCCAGAATAAAGTGATTTATAAGTCTTTATGAAGACTTCATCCTGCAACAGTCTTATTTCTCTTTCCCTGATTTACCATGCAGGAATGATACTTCCATACCTTGGTGGCATATGGTAAATCTCTTGGGTAGGCTCACAGTGGTGTTGATCAGTACACCTTATTGGTTTCGACTGATCACCAGTTATTTCATGCTCCTGTTGAGCCTGGTAACATAGGTTGCTGAACTGGGCTTTATGTTCTCCTTTGCTGCTGTGACCTTTTGAATTGAGTTCTTTCTCCACTTTGCCTAAATCTCCATATTTTTAAAAGTCATCGAGAGTGACTGTGGTGACATTTATAATGTTAACTCCTTAACTGTAGATATCCTAACTACAGTTTAAATAAATGCTTCATACAATATGGACA